CTGATGAAGAGATAAGGGCTCAGGATGTAGCTCTGTAGCAGAGAGCTTGCCTAGTGTGCATGAAACTCGAGGTTCAATTCCTTATAATACACACACACACACACACACACACACACACACCCCAGATAGAAAAACAGTTGACAGCTGTTTTTTTCCCAAGGACTTCTGCTGGGCCATTTTACTTTATGTTTTTGTAAATAATCAAGAGTATAGTACAAGGTCAGGCTGATGGAGTAAATGAAAGATTACACAACACCAGAGGAATGATCAGGAGGATGAACTCTGAATGGCTTCTTTTATCCCAGGAAACAAATAATTATGATTTTTTTTTCTTTTTTTATTATTATGACTTTTTTACAAGCACCTCAGAGCCTGTAGTGTGATAGGGGAGAAAGACCATATCCTACTTCTTTATGCAGTGATGAGCTACAAGATGCTGCTTTATCTGAGGAAACAGATTTTGGAATGACCATAGATTTGCAAAATGTTAGGCATTATCAGAATGGGAACCAAAGAGAATAGTCTCCACCCTTACACAAAAGTATGTCAAACTCTCCCTGGGAATTTTTCTTGTCATACTTTTTGCAGTCCTCCAAAGAAGACAAATCCCTTTTAGGTGTCTTGAGATGGTTCCTGAGAAGAGTTACTTCAGTGTTGGAAGAGACTGCAAGAACCTGGACTGCATAATTAGTGAAGAAATGCTGGGGAAATGATGATGATGATGATGATAAAACAATTAACATTTGCAAATGCTGACCTTATGCCAGGTGCTGGGCTTTAGGTGTTATTTCATTTCATTCTTACCACAATCCTATGAAGTGGGAACTATAGTTATACTTATATTACAGATGAGAAAAATGAAGCATAGAGAAGTCAATTGAGATGTCCAAGGCCACACATTTGGTGAGTGGTAGAGCCAGGACTTGAACCCAGGTTTTGGTACCCAGAAAGCTTGAGGTGTTAGTGTTGTAGTTGATGATATGATGACTAATGTTGTAAATGTTTTTTTTGAGACAGGATCTCACTATATTATTCAGGCTGACCCTTAATGTAGTTTTTTTGGGGGGTACCGGGAATCAAACTTGGTACTTTGAGCTTGCAAGGCAGTCGGCGGAACCACTGAGCTAAATCCCCAACCTGAGCTAAATCCCCGGCCCCAGATCAACCCTTGAACTCACAATGTACCCCAGGCTGGTCTCAAACTTGTGGTGATCCTCCTGTCTTAGCCTTCTAAGTCCTAGGATTACAAGTGTGCACTAGCACACCCAGCTTAATTTGTAAATCTGGAAGGGCATGATAGAAAGAACAAATCTCAGAATAATACAATAAACGTAACTCCAAAAACTTGAGAGGTTTTGTACAGTGGATGATAATTATGATGTCACTTTAATGGTTGTATGAACAGCGTGGGAAAAATAGTTGGAACATGATTATGAATTCCTAACTATTTGATGATTTCAGATACATGGAGTTGCCCATGGTACATGCCTGTAATCCCAGCACTTGTGAGGCTGAGGCAGGAGGAAACCCCACAAGTTAGAGGTCAGCCTGAGCTATATAGTAAGTTCAAGGCCAGCCTGAACTACATAGTGAGATCCTGTCTCAAAAAAAAGAAGGAAAAGAAAATCATATATAGAGAGTTAATATGAATTTCAAACAATTTAAGGCCTGCATTATAGCAAAGCTCTTCTACATATTCCTGGAAGAAATTCTTAGGAACTCCTAAGAAAGCACGAGTTTTGGTCCAAAAGCCTGACCCAATCATAGGAGCTTTTCAAACTTTTGAAGGTAATGAGATCACTCCAGAGGATCTGTATTTGTCACCTCTGGCTGCTATAACAGAGTGTAATAAACTGGGTAGCTTAACAGAAATTTATTCTCTCACAGTTCTGAAGCTTGAAGTCCAAGATCAAAGTGCAGGCAGGATTATTTTTCGGTGAGGGTTCTCTTCCTGGTTTGCATAAAGCCACCTTCTCATTGTATCTCACATACCCTTTCCTCTGTGTGAGCCTTAGGTGGGAGAGGGGGTAGGGAGAGAGAGAAAGAGATATCAGTTTATCTCTGATGTCCTTTCCTCTCTTTTTGTGTGTGTGTGTGGGGGGTTGGTACAGGGGATTGAACTCAGGACCTTGTGCTTGGGAGGCAGGCTGAGGAACCACTGAGCTAAATCACCTGCCCCTTTCCTCTTTTTATAATGCCCCCAAACCTAGCAGTAGAGAGAACCTCACCCTTGTTATTTCACTTAACCTCAGTTACTTCCTTAAAGGCTGTATCTCCAAGGACAGTCACATCAAGAGTTAGGGCTTTTCTTGTACACAAATAACAGACTCACTGAGAAAGAAATTAGGGAAACAATTCCTTTTACAATAACATCCCAAAAAATGAAATAGCTAGGAATCAATCTAACAAAGGAAGCAAAAGACCTCTACATTGAAAACTATAGCACTTTGAAAAAAGAGATCGAAGAGGATATAAGAAAATGGAAAAATATCCCCTTTTCCTGGGTAGGAAGAATGAACATAGCGAAAATGGCCATATTTCCAAAACTGCTATACAGATTCAATGCAATCCCGATTGAAATCCCAACATTATACTTCACAGAACTAGAGAAAACAATCCAAAAATTCATTTGGAAC